TTTTACAAATTTTGTCTCCTTTTCAGACTGCCATGGCCACAGCAACACTATTACAAGATCCCAGTAACATCTTTCTGCTCTTCAGCCATACCAAACATTAATGTTTCTTTGCATTCATCTTGTAATCAACTGCATATCCATCAAGGTAACTGACAATGCCAGTAGCACCAGGGAACACTATAATGTACTCTGCATACGTGCATTTCATTCCATTTCCTATAGTCCATAACATCATCAAGCTTTTCCAGCGTGATGCTAATTCTCAATTTTGGTTTAGTTTATTTATTCTATTGGTATTAATCTACTCGTTTGACAAAGTAATTAGCTAAATACTGATGAGATGATGCTCAAGATTGGTCACAGACACACTGATTTAATAATGAAACCTTCTCTTTCAGGATCCTCTGCAGTCACTGTTAGCTTATTAAAGAAAACAAAAAAACAAACAAACAACAAAACATTGGTCATCTGAAGAAAGTCCTTTTGTGAACAGGGAGTTCTGCTCTTACTAACACATCTCCAAAAGTTTAACTGGCCTCTGACCCCAGAAAGGGAGGGGTTTCTACAAGACTAATCCYATAAAATTAATTCTTTCACTCTCTCTGATTTTTTCACTGCTCTCATGTTCTGGCTGCCTCTTCCCAGAACAGTAGAGCCAGAGCTTTTAACAYCTTTGTGCTATGAAGAAAGAATAACTAGGTCACTTTAAAAACTAGTCCCTTTGATTAGTCTTTCTTCCCTAGCTTATTTTTTCCCCATTTTATTTTTATACTTGGTTTTAGGCTACTGAAGTTTCTCAGGAGTAGCTTCTTGGTTTGATGATCAGCATTTTAACCATYTCTCTTGCAATTGTTGTAAAGCCACAATCACTTAAAGCACACTATAAGCCTTATTCAAAATACTAAATCTGCAATTTTAAGCCTGCTACATATAAATGGTATTATATGGTTATAGAAATCGGCATTTCATATTTCTTTCTGARACGTGTTCCTGTCATTTCAGAACAATACAGACCATTACGAGATCTCACAGTAAAGAGGAATTTTTGTGACAAGTACAGAACAAGTCAATTACTTGCTCTCATTTCTCATATTCAACTCAATTAATGTTAATAAAATTATGTACTGTGAATGACAAAAATGAAATTCACCCAGTGAAAAATTCTGCCAGTAGAAAAGGAGTGCACTCTGCTTTCAGATTTAAAAATTCCTGTATTATCTGAAAGAATAGCCACATGCAGTATTTATTAGTAAGTACATMTCAATAGAAGCTTACAAAATAAAAGATACTGCACCTATGCATAAAGAAAGAAAAAAATCAAATTAACATTACTTACTTGATTAAGTATATCTTGTTTCTGTAACACATGCAAGGAAAGAAAGAACATACATACATTAGTGCAGTGTCATAACACTCAAGCTCTTTTTTTATAATAGAAATATTTTTAGTGAAAGGTTAGTGATTTAGATGAGCAGGTTTAAGACATTAGATAGAATATCCCATTTTCTCGCATTAGCACATAAGTCAAGAAAATGGCTCTAAGTCAGCACTCTAGTCTTGATCAGAAAATGCAAGCAATTTATTTCTAAACATGCAATAACAGATAACCAAGAAAGAAAAATAAATACAATGTTAGTCTTTCATCCCTGTGTACTTCAAATTAGCATAAAAAGTTCTTACTTAGAAGAGTCATTTATGAAACAACTTATCAGAACTGAATACTTCTAAACTCCAAGTGGGAGGATCACGGATCAGATGATCCTCAGAGCCATCACAGGGCACGTACAGGAGCACCAGGGGATGGGGCCAGGCCAGCAGGARTTTCATAAAGATCCAGCCTGTCCAGATCCCTCTGCAGAGCCTTCCTACCCTCAAGTAGGAAATCATAGGAATGCACTGAAAAAGAATGACAACAGTAGGACTAGAAGCACACAATGCTGTGTACTTACTGCCCATTTAGACACTGTCTTTAGCTCTGTTTTCCTAATTCTTGCCAACCTATTCAATGCTCCCCTCAAAATGAAATGGATGAAAACAATTAATACAAACACATCTCAAATGTGGTGTAAAAATATTTATCAATCACAGCTTTCCCAGAGGCTGGTCTTAGCCTACCTGTATGTCTTATACCCTGTATAAAATCCACTCTTAATTACTTTGATACTGACTTAGAGAAGAAGGTGAAAAGGCAGGTGTTCAGTTGCATTTGTAGAAATTTTAGGTATCTCTCTTACATTGRAAGCAGAGAGTAAAAGCTCCATAAACAAACTTCTATAGTAGACGAACTTGTCATAACTAGATACACCATTCCCCCTAATCCCAAAATCCACTCAGTCAACAAGATATAAAATAACATAAAAATAAACCAGACTATTTCAGGTAGCAAGTTATGAATACCAATGGTTTTTCTTTTGCTATTTGCATTCCATTAGATCAGCATGTAATAAAAACTGCATTGTAGAACCAATGGAGTGGAATAAATTCCTGAACACTTTAACTATATAGGTAAATATTTAAGTAAATACATCACTCTGCTAATATTCCCACAGGTCTATGTCCCATGTTTATTGGTAAAAAAACTGGCACTATCTTTTGGTAGTATAAGACTGAAAAAAATTTGGACTGTTTCTGACATAATGATCTTGGAAAGAGACAGGTAAAATGGAAATATGGTTGTATCCTCTACAAAACATAACGGCAAAACAATAGTGATGTCCAGAATATATAGAAATAAATAGCTACACTAAGATTGATGCCAGCTGGATCAGTTAATTTTTGTCATCTCATTTACATATAATAATTAATTACATCCAATCCACAGAGTCCTCATCCAAACRCATAAAATCAACTTGCAAATTGTTCTGTAAAGAATTTATTCACACAGCAGGCTGAAAGCATGCCAAAAGTATAGACATACCCGTGCAAAGGCAGCTCTCCTGTCAGGATAGAATATTCAATCAGTGGCAGAGGATATTTCAGCCACTTTGCTTCCAGTTCAGCAGCTTATAGCATGAACTTTGAGCTAACAAACCTTACCAGACCTAAAGCAGCTTTGTTGCTAGCTATGTTTTCTTTATGTTGCACTCCCTGAAGTCTAAGCACTAAATAGCAAAATGCAAAAGCTGTCAGAGTTAGCCTGGGTCCAATAGTAGTGGTGAATAGCTTAATTATTGCTGAAAACATTGAAGTCATCAGAGGGTGTCTGGCTTGAATTCCTCTCTCCCCCACCCTTCTCCCATCCTGCTCCCTGCCTTGGGTACTCTGCTGCTCTGTAATTCCTGGATGTTTCAATACACTGGCAGGATTCTGGAAATGAATAACTGTGAGATGAAGAACAGGGAGACACCATGCAAAGTCTCAGACTTGTCTCAAGACCAGCTGTGCTTATTAATTCCAGCTTTGCACTGACTTTGCCAATTCATCTCGCTTTAGTCAGAGCAGATTTCCTGGGTATCCATCTTGCCACAACTCAACTTCCACACAGCCCCAAATTGGAAGAATGACTTTGTCGAAAGRGACTAATCACACCACTTTAAGTAAGGATGTTTATATACAATTGATAATTTGACATGTTACCAATATGKCAATATATTATTTAAATATGCAGAAAATGCACAGTTATTTCTTACTTTAATAAGATATACTTCACAAAACTGAACATGTTGTATGATGACTGAAAATATGTGAAGAATTAGAAGAAAAAAAATATTTATAACAAATTAAGACCATTTTATCAGTTNAAAAAAAAAAAAAAAAAAAAAAAAAAAAGAACAAAACCAAAAATATTTCAACATTCCAACAAAAAGCAGGTAAGGAGGTCCTACAGCCTAGGTCTCCCTATGTTACATTGGGGAATAAAGTAGATGATCACAGCATTCCCATCCATTTATGAATGTATTTAACTAGAATTTTATGGAGTTATAATGTTTTTTCCTCAGAAACTGACAAAAAAGACCAACATTATGCTTTGCCAAGTTCAAAGCACCAAATAATTTTTCAATACTTACTGAGCTATAACTCATTAGTTGACAATCATTGTATTATTGCCAATAAGTTCCCAATAAATTTTGTCTTTTACATCCTGAAATGTAAGATCAAGTAATTTTCATAATGGTTAGCACATTTTTCTWTCTTGAATTTCACATAATGGGAGCACAGTCAGAAATATTACTATTAGAAACATTACTGAAACAGGTTTTATTTAGCTACATTCTGAATCACTCTATTAGGATGTGCTAAGTGAATGCAAATTTCAGTTSAAGATAAGAAAAGAAAACAATCTGGCTTTTTCTACCAGCCAAACCAGAATACTTTGTCTAGTGGTGAATCTGTAGTGACAATGTGCACACACAACTTTTTTTCAGCTGAATTCTTTGTTTCACAACATCAGAAAATCCCAGTACCAGAAACAACCCAAGAGAAACAGAAATTAAAAAACAAATGTTAATGGATTTTACTTTTATAACTTTTAAAATTATGCCTAACAGTTCCAATCTTTAAAAACTTGAAAAGTCTTATTAACCTTATCATAAGGGTTGTGGAGGTGTTTTGGGTGTTTGTTTTTTATTTGGGGTGGGGGGACAGGAGGGAGTGTCTGTGATTTTGGCTGGGATAGAGTTGGTTTCCTCTGCAGTAGCTTGTGTGGAGCTGTGTTTTGGATTTGTGCTGCAAACAGTGTTGATAACAGAGGGATATTTTGGTTATTGCTGAGCAGTGCTCACACAGAGTCAAGGCCTTTTCTCTCCTCAGCCCAGCCCACCAGCCAGGTATCTGAACATACACAAGAATTTGGGAGAGAGCACAGCTTGGATAGCTGACTCCAGCTGACTAAAAGGATATTCCAGACCATAGAGCATCCTGGTTTTCTCTTTTTTAAACAGTTTCAAATACCCCAAACACCTGATTTATAAAATAATCTTCTATTTCAAATGCTTAGATCGGCTACAGCATTTGCAAATTGTTCCCATCATTTCTGATCATTAAGAAACAAGAAAAATTACCCCTTCAGGATTATATTTTGCTAATACACCATTGCCATGGAATTCTTCTAAGACATCCTTAATTTTCTTGGTGGAATCTGGATAAAAAAAACAAAGAGAGAGAAAATGAAAATACAGAACACTTATTTACATAATATGAATTGTAATTAAAGAAACAACAATCAAAACTGCTAATAGCTTTTTAGAATGCATATTAGCAATTTTCTGTAGCTCTGTGGGCACAAAGAAAATGAGAATATGCGTTACCCTCTTAACAAGTACTGTAAAAACTGGCAAGTAAACACAAAATGTTCAGAAATGGACACTGTTTAATGTAATTTTTAACTATTAGATAGCATATTGCTGAAGGAGTTTTTTTAGGACTATTTCAAGTCACATTTCTTGCCCTTGAAACCTGAATCAACCACAAAACACAGTCATTTCCACCAGCACTACAAAATCTCCTTTGGCAAAGCTTCCAGTGGATAGAGGAACTGTCAAAGGAGCTGGACAAWATCAAGACAAATGGGAACCTTACAGAAAAAAAAAACCTCTTCAGTGATCACGCCACAGAAAACAAATGTTGCTCTCAAAACCTCAATTTTTGCAGACCTCTCAGGTATTCTAAAACCTGTCAGCCTCAGTAACTTGTGTTTAACAGAATCGTGCAGATCCCTGCAGTTCAGAATCATGCAGACGTAACTTTTCCCATTTATTTTTGCCTATCTATGTGCAGAATAACAAAGTAATTGTTTTAGTAAGTAGCCATTACATAAAACCCTTGAACTCAGATTCACTTAGAATACATCATGCAAATAACCATAATAAATATCTCAGTAATACAACAAAAATAATGGTAACTCTTTTTTTTTTTTTCTTTAAAATGCAGTAGTCGAGTGTACAATGGTCAAATAAGCAAATTGCCACAGCACCATGAGTGCCAAAACAATGAATAAGAGAATAGGTGGAATTTGCATCTGCACTTTTTATTCCCACAACAAAACCTGGAGGAAAGCAGAGAAGCAAAGAGTGAACCAAGAACAGGACTTTTTTAGAGCAATTATTTAGGCATTTAATATTACAAACACTAGGACCTCATACAATTTTTATTAATTAAATCAAACAAATACGGCACTGTAATAATTCTCAGACTTTAAAGAAATCCAGCCTCTCAACCCTGTCTCAAAAACATTTAGCAAGTTATGTGACCTGGAAGGAGAAAATGTAGCAGCCAAGGATTTGAACAATAGTTATGCAACAGTTCTGTAACAGTTCATAGCACCARTAAACAGCATACAATACTAAAATTCAGTTTTAAGAGGTGCTGGAGGAGTTTCCCTCCCACTCTCATATGCAGTTTACACAGTAATAAGAATGGCTTTTCCCAATACTTTTATCAAATTTTCTTAACTAAAAGCACCTGAGACTATGTGCAGCCTCAATAAAATTGTTGTTTTCACTAATTGGATGCATTTCAGCGTTACTGTCAACTGTGAACAAGGGAGTTTAGCAAGTCTCATGAACAGTCCAAGCAAATATTTACATGATAAAATAATCCATAATCTTATTGTTGTGTCATTTGAAATACACCAAAAATCACAACTTTATGTAAAAATAAATAAATAAATAAATAAATAGATATGTTAACCAATACATTTTATTATCAGCTGTAATTTGAAGCTGGTGGGTTAGACAGTGATCAGGACAAGCACACAAACTGATGATTGACAAAAACTATTTCATTTGGTTTATAATATTTTAATGTACTTTACAGTGTTCATGTACATAGTTGTATATAAAAATCATTGCACTTTATTACACTGAAGTCAATAACTACAAAAGCAGCARTGTGAGATGAGCAGATGTATGGTAGAGGTGATTGAACTACATCCTAAAAATGGATTTTGTGAACTTTGGAGGAAAGTTTAAACACACATCAAATAGAAAAACAGCAAAGACTCCTCACACGTCTTTTACTATCCAAAGAAAAAGATACTTAAAATAGAAAGAGGTTTTAAAGCAATTACTTGAGGTTTTCTTTCAGCAATGACCATGCTTTCATTTTATATTTTGTCACAKAGTCTGTTCATTTTGTAATCAGTATTATGTCTATGCAACTGTAATTAAAAGCAAAACCTATGCTATGTTACTGAAATAAATGAAATCCTTGTTTTCCATTTTTTWATATATTTCTTAGTCAAGTACCAAGACAGAAAATATGCTCTATTGCAGCAAAAATGTAATATTCACCTCTTTCATGCATGAGCTTAAAACAGCCACATCCAAAAAGCACAGCTACTTTCTTGTTTGAAGTAATTGCCAAAAAAAAAAAAAAAGGTCTGCAGATGTAAATTCTCCTTTAGTTGTCCAGCAAAACTTTTCAAAAGATTTTCCCATTCAGGTCATGAGCTGTAAKTATTCTGAGTGCTACAGCCAAGGCAGAATCATTTTTACAATCTTTTGATCACAGCCATTCAATCATTTTTTTCAGTCCATGTGACAGTATCTAAGCTAGAATAGAAATCTCTCAAAATGCTCAAAATGACATATCGATATTTTAAGTAGAATGCCAACACAATCTTCTGCCTGCATACTCTTTACCAGTGCTGAAAACCCTCAGAAAAAAATTAATTCTTCTTCCTCAGCCTCAAGTAGGCAAAGTAATATTGGGAACATGTTCAATCTTTAATAAGTTGACCAAAAGGGGTATGAAAAATTAGATCATTTTCCACTCTCATTCAGGAATAACATTTTTAAAAACCAAAAAACCAACAAAAATCCTCTCTTAGTAACCCTATGGAGTAGAAACTCCAATAAAATGTTATCAACTCTATTTAAAAAAAAAAGTCAAGTACATGTTTACATCAATTTTTTTTTAAATCCAAAAAATATATACAGAGGTTAATAGAAATTTTTCATAAGATTTGTTTTCCTAAGCTTTCTAAATAGGAAGCAAAAACAATTCCAAGGATTTCCTTGCAGTTTTGTGTGATCCAAATTATCTACATAATCATTGTAAAATGCTGGTGCAAACACAAACATAAGAACTGAACCTGTATCATCATTACAAGCACAGATGTTCTACATGCCTTAGCATCTTAGAATTTAAGAGCGATTTCAGTAAATTCGTAAGTACCAATCATGTTAAAACAAAAATATCACTTTAAACTCCGTTGGATCACTCTTAGCTGTTTTTAAAATCAAGGAAAAATTCCTTCTTTGTCTAAGTCTCTGCATTCCAAACTCTCCTCAAGAGAGACAGTTTCCAAATATGGGTATATATAGGATATAGCCTGTCATGGCAGCACTGAAATCCCATGTTATCTGCAAAGTTATAGCTGGCACAGCACAAATTTAATATAGCTTGAAATATACTGTTTATTTCATGAAAAATCTCTCTTTTCTTTATTTTCACCATTTTGTTATAATTACCCACTAGTGCTTTGTGTATTCAGTCAAACTACAGAAGACCTTCAATTCTCTCYCCTGCCTGAATTGATTTCAACTCTTAGTGTTTAACCTATCTTCTGTTACAATTTGCATTTAGTCAAGAGGGTGGAAAGAGAAAAAGGGAAACTGTGACCCAAGATCAGAGTTTGCCTTGGATGAGGTGAGATGTCATTTCCTACCTSAAGCCCCAGTGAGTTTGGAGCAGAATAAATGGACAAGGCATAGTGTTCATAGCTGCCTGAAAAGCTGTCACAAGTACCTGGGAGAAAAGTAGCGGATTCTACACAGTGCTGCAAAAAATATATTTTAAATTAAGGATCCAAAACAATAGAGACATAGATGTGACTTGGATAATTTTGTATTCTTTTAGAATAAAGGAAAAATATTWAAAATAATGACACTAGAAAGATGAAACTTGCGTATATAACAGCAAAAGTATCAAAATGTCTGATTTTTCCATCTTTCAGCCCTGACAAAGATACTTTTTATAACTGAAGACAAATTTACATAGTAAGTTAAAACTGTTTGAGATTTAGCCCACATTAAAAATTATTATTCATTTTTTAAAGTGACTCATCTTCAGATGAAGAAAATTGATCACTTAGTTGAGACGGAAATTTGGTGTAGCTTTTTTCCTATAATCAGAAAACACAAAACAGAAGGCAAACTTGCCCAGATCACACACTTTACCACATTTTCTCTTCCTCCTCACAGAAAAATCCTTGAAAAGAATAGTTTTCWTWAAAAAAARASAYRWG